CCAATTCATGGTGGTCAATCAGATTCAAGTGTTTTCTATATTCCAGCAGCACCTTTATGCGACGTTAATGCTGAATATTTGGTTCGACAACGTCATTCTTTTGAATATGGTATTCCTGCACCTGATTTTCCCGGTGGCAAAGGTGAATCTAATCATATCGGACGAGCAACTACTAAATGTGTTAATACAGTTGAAGGTAAACGTACAATGGGTCTTGAACCATTTGAAATCAAACCACATATGACATCGGGAGAAAAAGAAACGATCTTGCATGCTAATACTATTTTAAATCTATAAAGTTTGTACAAATTAAAACTCGATTGTATACCGTTGACTATTAAACAGATAATAAGTAATTTTTTTTTGTATTCAATAAAGGATATTATACATAATACCACTATTTAAAAAATGACTGGTTTTCATCGAAAGTGCGAAACAAATCAAATTTCTACTAAGATATTAAATGTACTAACTAAAGATACGAGTCATCCATCGTATTTTTTGGCTTTGGTTTTACTTTTACTACATACTTTCAAAAATTATTTGTTACAATAGAAAAAACAAACAATTTATATATATATCTCAACAGTGAATTAAATGATTTGTATACATCTCACTGAACATTCACTAGGAGTTAGTTTGAGATTGATGTCGATATGCAATATTCTCTTGCTCTCTTATGTTTAGTTTTATCTAATAATAATAGTATATAGTGAAAAAAAATGTTTTGTTTCGTTTTTGAGGATATCATACATATTTTAACAGAGATCGACAACAGTTGTTAGATCATAGTTGAATTAGATTAGATGCAGCCAAAAGTTTTATAAATCATAGTAACTTACGTTGCTTGTCAGAAAACTTAGATAGCAATTACCAGTTCTTGATGATTTTCGAAGCCTACTACAATGTTCATATTTATTACGAAATATTTCAGTTAAATATCCAATTACTCAAATTTTAATATGACTTTACTATATTAACTTCCACATGATTTTGATGATTTAAAAGTTAATAAATTTGTAGTTTAAAAGGTAGATACTGGTATCCAGAATCAGTCATCTGTTAGAATTTCACATCCATCATAATTGTAAATCGTGAAAATGAAAGAAGATCTCCAATGTGTTTTTTATATTTTATTCATATAGTGAAGACATTATGATGTAAGTATTGAATGAATTAGATAGATTAAATTGTAAGAAAAAAAAATGTAAGTTGTCGTTTGTTTTATTTCAACGTTTTAAAAAAACACACGGATAACAAGAAAAACACAACAACGGTTGAATGAAACGAGAAAGAAAAGAAAAAATTGTTCTGTTGCTTTTTTTTTAAAGTGTATGAAAATTATTTCTATGAAAACTCAGTGTTCTTCTATCACTCCATTCTCTCAAATTTTACTATAAAGAAAAAGCGATTATTGTCCACCTGGACGTAATGATGATAAGCCAGCACGAAGAATTTCATCAACAAGAATTAAATTTGTTGCAATTGATGTACTTGAATGAATTAATTGTTTTTTAACACGATAATTATCATAAATACCTAATGATTTTGGTTCCATTGCTTCACCTGTTGTGATATCAATTCCAACTGGTATTTTTGATGTTGTATATTCATGTTGAAGTTTAACAATTATTTCTTGTTGATCATGTCCAGCATTTTGTGCAATTGCTTTTGGAATAATTAATAATGCTTCAGCAAATGCTTGAACACCTAAACGTGCACGACCTTTAACTTGTTCTTTATATTGAGTAAGTGCATGATGAGCAACTATTTCAAAAGCACCACCACCAGGTATAACACAACCTAAACAAAATATATACTTCAAACATAAAAGAAAAAGAGAATCTCAATTCACCATCTTCAATTGCATTTGTTATTGAACGAAGACCATCACGAAGTGCATCTTTAAGTTGATTTAATATATATTTGGTTGAACCTTTGAGTAATACTGTTACTGATTTTGGATTTTTACAACCTTCAATAAACGTAAATTTTTCTTCACCCTATACGAAAAGAAACAATTTTAATCATTAAAAAGTTAATTCAAACAATTAGAATATACCAAAACATGTTCATAAACATCTTCAGCAAAACCAAGACAATCTTTTGTTAAATTCTCAACCGAACTAATAAACATAAAAAAATAACAACAGAAAGTTTCTTATCAATCTTACTTCATTGCTTCTCCTCCACATGCTAATGTAATACGTTCCATATTTCGACGTTTAGCACGTCGTAATGCTAAAATTCCATCTTTAGCCAAGATATCAAGTGAAAATGGATCAATGCCTTTTTGATTAACAATAACAAATGTTTTATTTTTATCATCACCCGAGCAAACTTTTCGTTTAAGTTCAACTATTTTTTGAACACGATCATCAATAAATTTACGTTCCGATGTAACAAGACGATCACGTTCTTCAGCATTTTTATAAAAGAAACCAGCATTAACTTCTCTAGAAAAAAAAGGAATATTCAATGCTATTTATTTCTTAAAAATAAAATAAAACTTTTCATACGTTTTTTCATATTCAAGTGAAACATTTAAAGTTAATACAAAAGCATTTTTAAGTGCTTTTGGCATAGATGGATGACGACCACCATGATCAAGAACAATACCACGTACAAGACGTGAATCACCTTCAGTACGATGTTGCATTTCCATGATTTCAACCATATTTAAATCCGTTGGTTTACCTGGTTCATTTAAAGCTAATATAGCATCAACAACAATCTACATACAAAAAAATACATATCTTTAGAATTTTAGAAAAATAAACATTTTAATTACAAACATCAGTAAGAATATCAGCATTTTCCATTGATAATTTTGTACGTAATGAAGTACGAGCTATTTGAATGAGCGTTTCACGATCATTGTTTATAGGTATTTTACATTTATCAAGAATTTGTAATGCTTCTTTTTTTGCTAATTCAAAACCTTCACCAACAATACGAGGATGAAGACCCTATATAATGAAAGAGATTTATTATTTTGTTATAAATTCATTTTGAAAATGTTTTGTATTATTTTACCTCAGAAATATAAAGATCGGCTTGTTTGAGTAATTCACCAATTAATAATACAATTGATGTTGTTCCATCACCAGTTATATCATCTTGAGCAGTAGCAGCACGAGCAATTAATGATGCAGTTGGATGTTGAACTTGCTATTTAATAAAAAAATGATTAGAATATGAAATAAAACAATCCAATGAACAAAATTAATACAAACCATTTCATGAAGAAGTGTACATCCATCTTTAGTTATTTTAATATCACCAGCACCCGATACAAGCCTAGAATATTAATGAATGAAATAAAAAGAAATGATTTTATTATTCTACATACATTTTCATTGTTCCTTTTGGACCTAAGTTTGTTTTAAGCATTTCTGCTAAACCACGTGCTGCTGAAATATTAATAGCTAAAGCTTGTGCTTGACGAGCACTTTCAGCTTTTGGATTTAATGTTGTAATAGCTGACATGATCCTATATTCAAATTTATGATGATGATAATATAATCTAAAAAAAAAGTGAATCATTAATGAAAAAAATTCGACATAGAGAGAGACAGAAAGAGAGAGATCAACAAAATATGAAAAAAAGAAAACAAAAAATGAACAAGTATAGTTAATGTCCATAAGAGAAGAGGAAGAAGAAAAAAACAATCAATTTGTTTTCTTTTTCTTCATTGACAAATATTTCTATCGACAAAACACGGTTATAATATCTTGACTAGATGAATAAATTTATTGTTCCATAGATGACGTCGTTGTTGGTATCGTTTGTATACGAATTTCTGGTGCAACATTTTCTGAATTATCTTCAATAACTGTTAACATTGATGATGGTATTAATGAACGTTGTGCCATTGACATAGAACGTATATGACGTATAAGACCATCACGTAATTCAGGTGCTGTTTGAAAGACATGTTTAAGTTGTGGAGGTGGTAATTGAAGAAGTAATGGAAATGAATGTGGTCGAGTTTTTTGACAACATTTTATAAAACCTTCCCATATTCGAGCTTGTTTCCATGCTTGTTTTGTAATAAGTCGTTGTAAAATATTCATGACAAAACCAACCATTTTTGGATAGAAACTAAGTGCTTGTAAAACCGTTCGCATAAACAAAACGGGTATTGGATTAATATCAACAAGTTGTTGAATAACAATAGCAAGAACATCATGAGTATATATTGCACGTTCATTTAGACATAGTGTTGCAGCATTCATAACAGTTTTTAATTCACATTCTTCCGATGAAATTTGATGAAGAGCAATCAATAATTCAAATGGTAAGATTGGACTAGCATGTGATGTTTCAGATGAAGTATTAAGGCCTAAAAGTCGATTAAAAACTTCTTTCACTACTGGTTGTGTTAGTTTGATTAATTTTGGTAATGCACTAATAATTTCTTTCTGAAAATAAATCATATAATATATTGTATAGATAAAATAAAAATACTGTACCTTATCTAAGCCCGTAAGTACTGGTATAAGAAAACGAACATCTGATACTCGTTTATGATATAAATCTCGGACTTTTTCGACCAAAGCAGGTGATGGTGGAGCTTGTTCAGTAAGTATATGAATAATACGTGTAATTAATGTTTCGGCACCTTTCGGACAATTTTCAACTAATTTTAATAATTCCGGACTATTCATACCCATTCCACGAACTGGAATTTCTAAAACACGAAGAATTACTCGTTTAATATCACCATTAACTGCTGTATAGATTGTTGCTAATGGTTGTATTAAATGATGATTCGATGGCATTAAACTAAGATATAATGGAAGACAAAGACGAATCGAATCTTCTGTCCATGTATCACTAGGTATTGTTGAAGCTTTTTTATCTTCACCAAAAAGTGCTTCTGGTGGTTGTGCTGCTGTTAAATGTTTCAAAAATTGTAAAGCATGTCGTTCAATTGGTTGTTTAAATTCTTCTTTATCATGTAAACTTTTAGCAATACGTATTGCATTATTTCTAACAGATATATTTTCATTATGTGTAAAATCAAGTAAAATATCCAAAAACTTTTCACGCATATTCATTCGACGAAATATAAGATCGCGTAAAGTATTCATACCAAGATAAGAACGTGTTTCATCTTGACAATAACGTTTAAGTACAAGTAATGCACCATCTGTAATTAATGGAGCACTTGTTAATAAACGAGAAAATAAACCATCACGTTGATCTGGTTTTTCTTGTAAATATTCAAGTAATCGACATAATGTATCATCATATTTAGTAAAATCTTTTTTTTTATTTGGATCTAATATACTCAAATATCCATTTGCATAAACATATTCTTGATAAAGCCATGCAAATGCAAGATCATGACGTTTACGTACATCAGCGAATATATATTCTTCATAAACTAAAAATAGAATATAAGTCCAACTGTATTATTCTGTTTAATACTCAATGAATAAACACTTTTCAATTAATAATAAAATTTATAGCTAAAGTATTATGTTTAAAATAATTTCAGATATGAAAGAACAAATGATCACTTGGAACTTGTATTGATTGACAACGGTTGCTATGAGTAACGGTTATTACAACAGTCTATTCACTAGCTCATAACTTTTATTTTTACAGAGTATGGAAGGAAAGAAAAAGTTTAGAGTTACATTCATATCGCTATTGTTCTGTGAAAAATATTTAGAAATTCATCATACTTACTATCACGAAAACTTCGTTCGGATAAACATACTAATGACGTCATTGTTTTTTTTCTTACATGTCCAACACCAGCAGTTTCACAAACATCTACACGTAAATAGTTTATAAAAATGAAAAGAATGAATAATTTTAACAACTTAAAATGCATACCTTCAGCATGAAGAATTCGATAAAATGAATCTGTTGACATACGTTGCATTTCATCATATTCGATTGGTTTAATAGCATCAGCTAATTTAAATGGTTTCATTTTTTTCTGTTGTAAACTTGGTATTGTTGACATTGTTGTTATGCCAGCAGATGTTGATGGAATATCACCAAGTTCATTTCCACTCATAGATGATATAGTTGGTTTAATGTCAACATCAGTTGAAGACGAAGGAAATGAATCATCACGTCCGACACCCATAATACTTGTTATTGGATTTTCGTCTTCAATATCATCATCAGTTGGTGGTTTTACTTGTTGTTGAGATTTCATAAGTTCATAACCTTTACCATATCCAGCTGCAGTTAATTGTGCACCAAGTAATCGTGCTAAATGTTCAATTTGTGCTGGTGTACCAGCAGCTGCAATTGGTGTATAAGTTGCTTGAAATGATGCTGGCATTTTTT